TAATCAGTCACGGAAGCCTGGGGCTTCTGCTAGATGTTTCCCATCTGCTCTCCCTATTGCCGCCCCTGGTTAAGAACTGTGATTTCTCACCTGCGTCATTGTTGCCTCAGAGTTCTCTTGGCCTCTAGTCTAATCCATCCCATAAACCACTGCAGGGTGAACGAACTTTCCGAAGCACAGACTTGGTCGTGTTACTCAGCCTTATCTTTAAGACTGTAGCCCCAGCTTATCTGCCCAGCAGCATCCCTCATCACTTTCTTCACTTAGCCTGCTACTGCCTGATAAACTCACTCCCGTGACACCTGATTTTGACTAATAGCCTTATCTCTAACTCAAGCCTCCTTGCTTTCACTCAAGCTGTCCCTGTGTGTGTGTGTGTGTGTGTGTGTGTGTGTGCGTGTGCGCGCGCGCGCGTGCGCGCTTTCAGTGTTGTCTGAAGATTTCCTGCTGTGTCTGAGGGTCAGCCTTTGCTCCCTGGTCTGGATGAATAGCACCCGATGTCTGTCCCGACTCCTGTCCTCCCAGTGCTTGTAATCCTCTGTGTACCTGCCTTGCTCTCCCACTAGTCGGGTCTCCTGAAAGCAGAAATCACCGTCCTTTCTGTATCGCTAGTTCAGGATACCTCATAAATGTCTACGTATTGGATGGGAACTGATGTCACACAGTTCTTGGCTTTGGGAAAGCCTTGAGCGTGCAATAGAAGTTGTTTCAACACTAATGTAGATGTTCTGTGCGCGATGACAGTGTTGTAGAGACGAGAAACTTGGAGAGCTTGCAGAGGTCGGCAATATGCTACAGGAAAGAGAAGCTACATGCACGTAGACCCCCTCTTTGTTTCTCTAAGGGCTGAGCCAAACTGGCACCTCTGTTAGTGATATATTCCAATTGGAGAGTCATCTGCATCTGAAAATCACCTGGGGACCAAGCCACTTTTCGTGCACACCCCTGCAGCAGAGGGCCTGGGAGCCAGCCGGCTTTCTTTCTCCGGAGCTGGGCGGCTGCAGGTGGAGTAGGTGGTGCTGGCTCAGCAGGCCCCTCCGGGTGTCTTAGGACACATGCCTGGGCCCCTCATTGGAACTGGGTGGGGCAAGTGTGTGTGGCAGGCTGAGTTGTGACTCCCGGAATCCCCTGGAGAGTCAGGAGGCGGGTTACACACACACACACACACACACACACACTCACTCAAGGTGGCCAAAGGAGCCAGTTGTGGCAGCATGCCTCTGGACTTGGGGAGGGAGGGGGCTCTACGAAGTGGGGCCATTGTTCTGAAGTACTTTTTAAAAATGCAGTTAATTAGGAGTACATACTTAGAGCTTCTGTTACTACTTTTCCTTGTGTTAACAAAAGTTTCCGACTGTAAACTAAGATGTCGAGCTCGTTTCTTTGTTACGAGACAGATTACTGTATTTCATTTTTAATCTCGAGCCATCTACAGTTTTAACTGCTGAGCCCTCCAGCAGCCCCTGGAGCCTGGCATTTTGCCTTATCGACACAGGAATGCCATCTGTAGGAGAGAGTAACTATAGCCTGTACAGTAAGTACATAAGGAAGTAATCCAGGTGTGTGTGTGTGTGTGTGTGTGTGTGTCTTTCTGTTTTCCAGAGCTTTTTCTATGAACTGTCTGTAGAGCCAAGGATTTGTGTTCATGGCACAAAAAGCTACCACAGCCCTGGTGGACTGCATGCGATCTGGTAACAGGCCAGCATCCCTCTTTGTAATGTTCATGCTGAGTGCAAGCTCCCCATCAGACTGAAAGAGGAGCCTTTGTCATGCCCCCTGAGTTTCCAGGCCTGGGCTACCCCAGGGGAGACATGGGAGCCACTGGGGCTATCCGGCAAGCAACCAACCCGGGAAAACAACCCAAACCAACGCCCTCCGGGCCCGTCCCAACCAAAAAACCCCAACCCCCCCCCGCCTGGCCCTTCCTGGTGTCCTTAGCCCAGTTCTGGTGTCGGTGGTGTGTGGGGCCTGCCCCAGCATCGTGGGGAGACCAAGGACTGTGGCGCAGGGGCAGAAGCAGTGCTCTGGGACCTCCTCAGAGGAGGCTGAGCCTGCCCAGTGTGCTTGGTGGGAACCTGCAGTGGGCTTGGCCTGAGTGCAGCTTGACAATGACAGGGCACCGGGCGGTGCGGACCCATAGGGAGCACACGCATGTATGCATGCATGCATGGCCTGGCGGAGGAGCCACTCACGGGTTGTGGGGGTGGAGATTCCTGAAAGAAGGACAAAAGGAGCTCCATCAGGCAGTGGGGACCACCGAGGAGTTCCTATAACTCAGGGCCTGGATGTGGCAGCCAGGAAACAGAAACAGGTGCCAAATCTGGATCCTCTTTTGAACCAAGACTTGACCACTTAGCCAGAACGCAGACTGAAGGCCGGGGTGTCTGTGCTCTGGGGCAGGGGCACGTGGCTGCCCGTCCTTTCAGCTGCCGCGAGACTCACAGTTGGTAATCATTGAATCAGCACCCGTTCCAGTCGTGAAGGGCAGCAAGATAAATGTGTGGTACAGATTCCGTTCAGAATCTGGGCGGAAGCCAGACCTTCAAAGCAAAGGACCATCTAGAGCCAAAGGAAAGGAGGCAGGGTGAGGACCAGGAGGGACTGGGGTGGAAAGGGGAGTGATGCCAGTTTTTGGAGGTGGTGAGGGCAGAATCAGAAGCCCCAGCTACAACAAAACTGCCAAACCTGATGGGATTTGATCTTAGCTGGGCAGGATCCCCTCTTGCCTCAAGGATCCCCAGGAGTCTGTCTGCCTGGGTGGGTTGAGGCAGGAAGGGCAGGGAGGAGAGCTCGTGGGCGACTTGGCTGGGCTTGCACCTTGCGGTTGAGCCTGGCCCTCTCCCTGGGCTGCGGGCCCTCTGGGTCAGGGGCAGGGCTCATCTGGGGAGCAGGGGCCTGGCTCATTAGTGGATGTCTGGAGAGGCCTTTGAAGATGAAACACTCTGTAAGTGCTCATTGTTTCTGTTTCTTTGGACAAACTAGTACTTTGGTCTCTAGGGGCTGTTGATCTGGCTCTTGAGCACTCGGCTGGAATTTGCTGCAGTGAGAAGAGTGGGGATGGGGTGGGGTGGGGTGGGATGGGGAGGGGGCACCTGAAGAAGTTTCTGGGGGGAAAAACAAACAAACAGATCCAACTCCCAAACTGCTGTCAGACTCCCATGCTTTTAGCCTGTGAGTAGGATCCCTCCCTATCTACCTTTCACATTCTTGAGTTTGGGTGCACTCTGTCTTGACCTGTTCCTCCGCCTGCTGGGTTGGGGTGTGTGTCTCTTTGGTTCCCAGACTCTACAGAGGATGCCAGCAGCTGGCATATGGTGATTGCTGAATAAGCTGCCCGCTGACGCATGCCTCCCGCGGTCTCAGAGGGCTGGCTGGCACGGGCGAGGCTGAAACCCCATTTCAGTATTGTTTCAAAGAAGCATTTCAGTGGCTGCCCCGTGCTAGAGAGAGCGGGAGGGAAGGAAGCTGTGGTAGGGCCAGTGGCTGGGCAGCTCGGCACTGCCCCTTCACAGTGGTTCTCACCCTCCATTGAGCAGGGTTATATTCACTGGGCCCACTGCCATCCTCTGTGTCCAACCTGAGCTGCTCCTTGGGCCAGAAAAGAGCCTGAGCGTTCTCTCAGTTGTTCAACTCGTGCGCGTCAAGTGGGAGCCTGTTGGGCTGCTGAACCACAGGGTCAGGGAGAGCAGGCATTCTGTGCCTGTAAAGAAACCCACAGGGGCAGCTCTCTGGGCCCTGGGTCGCTATGAGTCAGCATCGACTGATGGCAGTGAGCATGTGGCACTGTTTTAGATACGGAGGAAGGGCCCAGCAGTGACTAGAACAGGCAAGGAGTTGACATGGTGGGATGAGGCAGGTGGTCCAGCAAGAACCCACTCTGCAATTGGCCAAATGGTGTTCATGCCCTGAAGCTAAGTGAAGTGTGGGACCTGTGGGGGTGG